CTGTCAAACAAACTATGAGAAGGATTTCGAGACGAAGATGACTTTGAATCAGAAGAAGCATGGAAGGCAGCCGTTAGTAAAAGGAAATATCTGTTCGATAAACTATTGAAAAAATATCAACCGATGATAAATTATAAATAAACATGCAATTACTAAAGTGAACTGACGCCAAAATGTTTTGTTTTTGTATTACAAAAATGTCATTTCAATACCAATAGTGACATTGGTTCTACATTTATAAAACATGTTAATGGAATAAATAAAATGAAAAAAAAAACGTTATTAGTTTTGTTGTACTTGAGCTATGAAAATGATATTGCATCACTTAATATAACAAACGAAGACCACATATTGAAAAATCAACTCTTATTGTCTTATATAACTTACAGCACAACACTATTGCATGTGTCACCTAGAGAAAATTGTCAAACAGTTTGAATTTATGTATTAGTTTGTATGGTTTGCTCAGCTTCTTTTTGTCTTTTGTCAGATCGCTCCTCCATACAAGCGGTAAATACAGTTCTGATAAGCTCCGGTTATTGAGATCGGTGATTTAAATTTGTAATGTTGGAACTCGCGTGTTGTATGTCGTGCCTTGACTAAGTTTTACGTGTTGGTTGATTTGTTAAACAGTAATCGACAAATGTCCTGTCACATTACGCTAGGTAAGGAATGAAACAAAGCTCATACCTGTCGGTATTTTTTTTTCAATAGCAACTATATGCTTTTTGAACGTTTGATGGTATGAGTTTACTAACCGCATACAGGCTACATATAAACTATTTACGTCATAACCCAATATAGAGCTGTGAGGGAGTTGTTGATTTTCTCCACCATTGGGTTTGCCAGCTTCTTGAAAGCGTGTAAAATTATAAACAGTCTACCAACGATGTTTGACTGATTGGTATGATATAAGCCATCAATGTGTTTACATATTAATACGGAGCAAGCCCGTGTGTGCATTCCGCTTTTTGTAGTATTTTTCATGCCGAGTCTGGTACTGATAAACTGACGTGAAAAATATGTATCCCTTTACCCGCGTTCTATAATTCAAATTTGACTACTGCTTCTACTATCGGTAGATCATCTTAATTGTTATAATATTCTACAAATCGAGTGAAGTTGTCATTTGTTTCAAGAACAGTAAAGTACTTAGGGAGGGGCAACGATCTTTAATATAGTACTTTTTATTCCAGAAATAATATACATATAATCGATTTTCTATAAAAAAGGGGAAATAAATATACATTTGTTATAAATGTATATGTAAATAAAAGCACGGCGAGAGAGAGATAGATTAAATCTATATATATCACCTGAGGATTCCTGCTATTGTTTCATACTTTTTAATTAGTGCAGTCTTGCTATAAACATGTATACGTCAGATGCTCTGATCAATATTACATCGTTTGCAAAAGTGTGATAGTGTAGCAGAAATGTTGCGTACTTAAAATTTTGATCTTTGCAGAATTGTGACAGTGTAGCAGAAATGTGGCGTACTTAACATACCTTTCTGAAATTCATAATATGTTATTATTATAGTCTTAAGCATTCACTTCTCAAATTCCCAGGTATATATCGATAGTTTATCTATTTAAAAAACCCTACACCAATTTAACAATAAACTATTTTACTACAAAAATAATCACACTAGCAACTGTACGACAATATAGTTTTACAAAGATGAACGTAAAATTTATTTAAAAAAATCCGTTGATTAGTACTTCTGTTGTGAATACACTACTCTGTAACAAGTAAAAGCTTTACGGTAAATAATATACATAAACCGTTACAATAGATAATATAGGATCTTTGTAGACTGACAGTTTATATACATTCATTTATTAAACACATATGGTCACTCTGTCAACAAACAATGTTTAGATTCGCTATTCTATAGGCTATTTAGTCAAGGCTCGCTGCGTCAGCAAAAATGTGGTCAAAACGCAAAAATGTGGCCTGGTTATTTTCCCTCACTATATACTATATACTACTTTCGTATTCATACAATGTGCATAATAAAATTAACTTTTTAAACATATATAAAGCTAAAAACAATCTACGAATTAAAAAAACCTTTAACATGCTCATCATATCGATCGATCAAAGCGGGTCCATAATCCACTTTTGATTATTTTGTAAACAATCTACATGGGTAAAATAAATACCAATATCACTTAAGTTTAGTCTTGAGTTTAAATTATAACCTCAATATTTTAAACATGTAGCTCCAATGCAGAACAAATAATCAAGGCATATTATTTCATTTTAACCCAGGTTTTTCAGACTTCCTGTTTGAAATAAGTAAAGCAAGGAAAATATTTTAATTTATAGTATAAGTAACCGACTGAGCATTGAATCAAATGATAGTGTTGATGTGTTTGATGGTAAATGTCATTTTAAAGATATAGTTTATTATCACACAAAACAAGCCGGAATCTAAAACAATGGAAGACAACATTCGCTGTGATTATCTCATTATCACAGATGGAAAAGATATGACGCAGAAATCCGCTCACCTCATAAACGATACATTACGTACGTTAACCTCACAACCGAAGGTTTTAGTTCGAAACATTCATGACCAAGGCAAGCAGAAGGATAAGATCAGGTGTAAAAAAGTTATGTTTTTTATTCATGCTCGAGTATCCTTTTTCCAACTATTACTTAATTGGCTGAATTCATTACCTGAAATAACGAACGGGAACAGGCAAGTTTCAGTTCTGATACAGGAACAGGATACAGAGATTGGAGATCGTTCTGACATTGATCATGCAATATCAGAAATAAATCAAGAGAAAGGAATTGACATGATGAATTGGATATCATCTTTCAACGATATTTCCTCTTGGTGGTCGCTCATAATAAAGTTTTTGTTCAAAGTGAAACGCTTTGGAAATGATGACTTCTCATACAATCTTGTATTTGCGGTTCCCGAAATGAAAGATTCAAAAACTGTAAGAACTTTGTCTGATATTTTGTCAAGTTTTAAATTGAAAGAAAGTGCCTCTTCAGAGTACATTGTTAGAGTTGCCAATGAACACCAGGGAGAAAGCGTGACTGATGTTCATACAGGGATAAACATTGGGTACAAGATTGACGATTGTAAATTATCAATAGCTTTGCTTGCAGTGTTGTTGGATTTAAAAGTAATTAAAGCGAAACAAACGAAGCAAATCACACGTACAATACATACAAAAATAAAACCATCTTATCGAATTCTGACATGTCTAATTAACATATTGTTGAGTATCTTGTTTGTTTTGGCATGTCTTTTGAATTTACCTTTTTTTGGTATCCATGTACCATTTACTTGTTATTTTACTTTTTGTTTTCCACCCTTTTCTTTCATATTTCCCTTTTTGCTGAGTGCAGAATGTGATTGCAAAATAAGTACATATGGTTGGAAACGTATGTTAGCCCAAAATATTTTTGTAATTGTTATGTTTGGTATACTGGCAGGTGCACTGTCCATATTTAATAGTTGGATTTCAATTTTGATTGGTATATATACATTTGTATGGCCAATCTTATTACACAATATCCTATGTAAAAATGGTTTTGACTACGGCGTTGTGTCTTTACCTTTAAAGGTCTGGGACAAAATAGACTTCGGATTGTTAAGAATCTTATATCAACAATTTAAAACCGTAAGAGAAGAAATGTGTGCGGGAAAAATAAGGCTCATTTTAAATAGAGTGTTTATGTTTATACATAGTCCTGTTATAATCCTTTACCTTGTTCTTTTTCTAATTGTGCTCAAAATATTAGATTCAAAACAAAAAATTATAGCTTTGTCTATATTTTATACCAATTTTGCACTTGCTCTTGGATTCGGTATCGCAGGACTTATTCTACTTCATTCACAAATCTCTCTTGTTGCAATAACTCTCATTATTATGTCTATTTATACATTTTTCTTTTTATGTGTATTACATATTTACTGCTGGAGAGCGCATAATTTGAAATATGGAATTTTTTCGAATTAGACTAAGAAAGTAGCCTGAGTAGTGAAATATGTGAAGGCAAGTACAATCAATGAACGCACACTTATGAACATATATATTCAAGAAATATTACCATTCATATGAACAGTATAGTCAACTGATGGTTCACGTTGTTATAAAATTGATTTGTTTTGTAATACAGTATCTTGATATAATTTTAAATAAAATAACAAGTCCAGTAACATGTTGGTGATAAATAATGTTCCAATGTTCATTTTCCATACAATAAAATGATGAGTATAATATCCTTTATAGCCTTAAATGCACCTTTGTTGTATCAAAACAAACTTCTAATCAGACAATATAAACGTGTTGTTCTCCTTGAAAAGGAAAGAAAGATAGTTTGTAAAAAGAAATCAGATGTTTTTCTTTGTTCTTTAACAATAATTGCTTGACAAATATTTCACAGAATAGGCAGTAAAATAAGGGATTTTGTAAGTGTGCTATGAATTGTGTTTGATGGAACATTTTCAGTTTCTTATCGAAACAGTGATGTTTGCGGTTCCGTATACAACAGTGACTATACGTAATCCCCAGTCAACAATTGTATAATATCAGGTTATCTTTCAAGTAGGCCCTACCAGGGAGTAGAGTACTACGTAACAAGAAGTAAAATAGAGTTGTATAAATATGGAGTGTACAGTGCCATAACATGAAATATATACATGCACATTTAATTCCGTGAGATTCTTTCTCAGCATCAAATAAATGCCAATCTGTATGGATGTTTTAAGTATTATAAAAGCAAATATTATTGTCGAAAAGAACGTTAACCCATTTGCGCCTGTTGTCTACTTTTGTAGACACTAGCAGTTATCAGTACACTAGGACCTAATCATGAGCGCACATTTGTTTATCATTGTTATTCTATACTTGTTGTCATGATAAGCGTTAATTGGACTATTTTGCTAGACAAAATGCAGACCACTACGTTATTTGCAGTGTGTTTTCAACAAGAATGTGATAAAAATTGCCTTGAAAATATAATTGAAAATGGCTAGCAGAAACAGGTATGTAAAACTTTATATTGTTTTTATTTTATATCATAAAGTATGATTGTTTTATATTGTATAATTATATTTCTGCTCAATTCCTGTTTTATAATTCAGAAATATGTATAAAATGTGTTATGACAGTCAATTTAGATTTTGTCTACAAAAGTAGACAATAGGATCAAATGGGTACGTTTTTATCATTATGAAAATATTTTGTTGTTTACAGAAGATACACAGTAAATGAAATCATATCAATGCTTGAGGATGAAGGTAACTTTGAAAGGGCAGATATACATGTTCAACCACCTCCTGTAGATGAACTGACAGATGAAGATAGTGCAAGTGAAGATGAAGAAGTAGGTTACAACAACCTCAGTGGACGTCAGTTAGACCAACAAGCAACAGCGACAGTTATTCGCCTTAGATGGACGTCATGTTGTTGATTCAGCATCAGACTCCGATCTAGTTAGTAATAAATAAATAAAATAAATAAATAAAATAATAAATAGATAAATAAATAAATACGAAGCAAGCAAGTAAAAAATGTACAGTAAATCAAGTTGAGAATAAGATTTTTTATATTTATCATATTTTATTTTTCAGGAAACTGACCATTCTTCAGATTCTTCTGATACAGATGAATACGAAGTGCCTGCAAATATTGCAAAAAGACTTCAAGTAAGAATTGCACTATGGGATCCAGCTCCACGTCCCAAACGACCTGCACCAGTAAAGAGGAAGTGGGAAAATCTACCTGAGCAAGATAAAGACAGATTCACTTGGCATGGCTCAAATATAGACAAAAGTCGATGGCCGCAAACACCAGATGGCATCTTCAACTTATTTTTTGATGATGACGTGATCAACATGATTATTGAACAGAGTATAAGATATGCTGGTTCAAAAGGCAACCATTCGTTTTCAACTTCACCCCAAGAAATTAGGATCTTCCTAGCAATTCTGCTTATATCAGGCTATAACACTGTTCCAAGACGGAGACAGTTCTGGAGCCGGGATGATGACGTAAGGAATGAGGCAATAGCTCGTACAATGCCACAAGACAGATTCGACATATTGGTGCGATATGTACATCTTTGCGATAACAACAATCTTGACAGAGAGGACAAGTTTAGCAAAGTAAGACCACTGCTATGTCTGCTGAACGAGCGCTTCTTGTTATACTTCTTGAAAGAGAAAAACCTTTCAATCGACGAAAGCATGATCCCGTACTATGGGCGACACGGAGCAAAACAGTTTATTCGTGGGAAACCAATTAGGTTCGGTTATAAGATTAACGACAGCACTTGGGTATGTTTTACAATTTGAGTCCTATCAAGGGGCAAAAGGCCACCAAACCCATGATCCTGGCTTCCTTGGAATGGGCGGAGCAGTAGTTATGGACCTGCTTTCAGAGCTGCAGAAAGATGATGCATACCATCTGACTTTTGATAATCTATTTACTTCCCTGAAGCTCGTGGACCGGCTTACAGATATGGGAATATCTTGCACAGGAACCATCCGTGCCAACCGAATAGAAGATTGTCCTGTCAAAAAATGTAAAAGACATGGGAAAAACGCAGCGAGGAAACTATGATAAAAGGTATGACGCACACAAAGGTCTGATAGTGGTGAGGTGGAATGACAACAATATAGTGAATGTGGTGTCAAATTGCCATGGAGTTGAACCATTGCAACAAGCAACACGGTGGTCAAAGCAGGCAAAAGCTAGGGTGCGCCTTCCGCAGCCATTACCTTATAAAGCATTACAACCAGACAATGGGAGGTGTGGACAGGATGGATCAAAATGTTGAGAAGTATCGTATCTCTATCAGATCCAAGAAGTGGTGGTGGCCAGTGTTTATGTATTGCATTGACCTTGCGGTGCAGCAAACCTGGCACATTTACCGTGCTACTGATGCAGGATTGAGGCAACCATTAGATCTGTTAGGTGTCAGACGAGCTCTGGTTACTGTGCTGCTTGCTCAGGGGCGTACACCTGCTGTCAGCCCTGGCAGACCAAGAGGTAGGACGAGGCCATTGTCAAGAAGAATTCCAGGCCATATCCGACTTGATTGTAAAACTCATTACGCAGAGCCAGCAAAAGAAGTGCGCTGTTTATTGTGTGGAAAAAAATGCAGGACACAATGTTACAAATGTAATGTTGGAGTGCACTGGAAATGCTTTGAAATGTTTCACAGTGTTTAGGTATTCATACGATCAAAGCCAAAAGACATGAACAATAATAATTTATATTCAGAATGAATTTCAGAGTGAACACTTCTGTGCCTAATGTCTACTTTTGTAGGAAAAGTAATAGAAAACATTGCCTGTATAAACTTTAAGGATTTTTTCAAGTAAAAGTTATCAAATAAACCAACAATAGGTTATCTGGACATATATTCTATATGTGTTTTACATATACCCATTTGCGCCTGTTGTCTACTTTTGTAGACAAAATATTAAAACACTAAAATAAAAAATACAGTACTTATATTTGAAAAAGAAACGGATATATGTTATAACTATATGGTTACTATATGTTTTATACATTTCTTATATAAAAATAAAATTCCGGCACAAATGGGTTAAGAAAGGCCATCGAATTCTTCTATACACCATATCATTTGTTAATTGGGTAACAAATATGCTTTTTATTTTGAACTTACCGTATAACTACTTATTTCTGCGGGCTTAATATTCTGCGATTTTTGTTAAAATAAGGGGTTTTAAATTTCTGCGTATCTTATTTCTGTGGTGTCATCATTCTCGCCTTGATGCTTTTTAATTCTGCGTTTTAATTTAGATACTTCTTCAAAATTAACCTACACAAACAGACCACATTTTAAGATTTGTTGATATAACATTACTTTCGGTTAACATGCAGACGACTGATTATGTGTTTCGTCGTAATTATCATGTATCGGTATATACATATTAATAAACGTGCAATGATATCAATTTTAATACTGTATGTGTATAAATATGAAGTGTGAATAATAACCAATAGTAAAATCGAACGTGGACACAAGGTTTTGTACAAATACAAAACGGTATGTTTATTGCACCCGTCAAACTAAAATAGTTCGATTTTACAAAAAAAAATCAAGCTAAGAGTGAGCGAAATTCATACAAACATAATACTTATTTAAGAAAAGAGAATAAGCAAAGTGACATTTTTTCTAATATTTTATCATGACAGATACATAAGAAATTCCCATCTACAAAAGCTGATAACGGTACATGGAAATGTAATTATAAAATACCGGTAGTTGACATATTCCGAAATATACATACAGAGTTTAATTTTCTGAGGTTTTTAGATCTGCGGTGTCAATATGAACCGCAGAAATAGTAGAAATAAAGTTCCGCAGAAAATAGTACTTGATATATACGGTATATCGTGCTTGTACTCGAAAATATCAATTAAGAATGACATATACTAGTTATTTGCACATAAAAGAACTAGAAAAACATAAAAGTTTAAAACAATATTCGATTATTTGTTGTAATCATGTAATCATTATTGATAATAAAAAATATGACGCAAAAAAAACGCTCATGTAGTAAAGGATACGATACGCGCATATGCCACTCAATTTAGTCAAAGGTTATATTTAAAAGGGTTATGACTAGGGTAACCAATGCATTAAAGAGAACAACAATTACACGCCAATTAACAATGTTTTAATCTTTGGCTTCTTGGCCTTTCTCGAACGACGGTTCATGGAGTGCCGTTGTAAAGGATATCAAACACAAAACTTGGCAAAAAGATAACATTTTAAGATCACTCAAATTTACAATCGATCATCGTAAATTGCTTGAAGCTGTATACACTTTCTTCATTTGCCCGATTCTTTTATACTCAGATGAATTGTGGGTCAATATCACTTTTGTCGAGTTTAGACATGTTGGAAAACTGAGAACATACAAGTTAAGGCAACAAGAATTATCAAAGGTTATGATATGAGAAACTTTCCATTTCTTCTATCAGACGATATCCCTCATATTGTAAAGATAACACCTTTTCAGCTTCAGAACAAGCATTATGTAAAAGATTCCAAATGCAATACACAACTTTCCTTTTATATCTTTCCCACGGTCAACCATCTCTTCTTGGAACTCACTTCCGTCTGATATACACAATGTTCCGTCTGTCTCGACTTTCAAACAAACATTAAACATGAACACATTTAAAGCACCTTCTTTCCTCTACACAAGTGACAGAGAGACAGCTTTTGAACACATACGTCTTCGTATGTACTGCAGTCCACTAAAGGATCATCTGAAGTAAAACAAAATAAAACATTATAAACTCTGCAGCATGTGCTTGTGGCAAGATCACTTTCTCTTACTATCCTATTTACACCAACCAAAGAGCCGGTCTACTAAGAAATACCTTACATATTCATCCAATAATTTTAGTCAACCCCCATTTTGGCAATAAATCCTTTTATAACACATTTATATATACACAGGTGCAATAGTTTATTTAACAAACAGGTCTTTTCAGACTTTTATACTTCACAACAGCAGGTGTCAAGTGCTGTGTTGCAGCTGGCTGTAAAAAGTTGCCTCCGTACTTCACTTCGTTGTTGTTATATTTGTCTGGTCCTTCAGGATCATTGATGCCAGCACGCACTATTAAGTGTTTAGAATTGAGTACCGCTCAAGTCTGTGCTAGAGGACGTGAGGGATGTTGCATTGATTCATTATCCCTCATTTACAGACTCAATCAAACCGAGTCTGCAATGTTCCTGTTATTTTGTTGTGATTAATGCTTCCGAGGGATCACTTTGTTTCCAGATTTTTTTTCAAGAGATAAAAGACTCCAACCTTGACATGGACTTAAACTATGATTTTTGCAAACACTATTCTCTCATTAACCTCTTTTTAAAGAAGTGTATCCAAGATAAAGGGAAAAAAACCCTTAATAACGCTTAAAACAACAACATTGAAAATGTTGCAAGCTTGTTCGTGGACGGTAATGGAAAGTGCAAGTTACCAATGCCCATAGGACCTGGCATAAGTAGATGATAATGATGACTTAAAAACATCGACTTCTGAATTATATTTCCTGCTGACCTTTTTAATCACATAATGTCATACTACAAGCTTTCTTCTCTTTCCTTTTTTTTCTTGTTAAATTAAATTGTTGTTTATCCCCTATCTAATTATAACTAATCACATACAGAAAATTGAGCTACATGTTGTTGATAAAGTGAGCAGGTTTCGATTTTCGTTGTTTTTTTTGTTGTTGTTTTTTTGTTGTTGTTTTTTTTTGTTGTTGTTGTTTTTTGTACCAGAAAAGACGTTGCTGAAGTATATTTAATTGCCAACTTATTGTAACAAAACATCTAAACAGAAACTTTTATTTTTTTTAAAAAAGGAAGAAATCATTGTTTACAGCAGTGATAAGTTTATTTTATTTACATTCTTTGAATAACATCGCAGAGAATATTTAAAATAATGTAGAGATTTTAATTGTGCTATGCCTATTGTTAGAAAGAGTATGTTTAATTCCTCATCAAAACAGTGATTATTTTTTTTAAATATCTGGCAATTTTCGATGTTTTCATTTCGTGCATCGTAAAAGCAAGTTTGAAGGTGATGTGTTTGCTCGGAAAGCTTTTAACTTTGAACAAAATCTTTATAATTAACGACCACTAAGAAGAAGTATCGTTGAAAGATAGGTTCCATTTAATCATGTCAATTCCTTTCTCTTAATTTATTTACTTTCGATAATTCACGATTGATGTCAGAACGATCTCCAATATCATGTTCCTGTATTAGAACAAATACTTGCTCGTTCCAATTCGTCATTCCAGGTAATGCATTTAGACGATTAAGTTATAGTTGGAAAAGGATACTCGAACAATAAACTATATCTTTAAAATGACATTTACCATCAACTACATTAACACTATCATTTGATTCAGTGAACAGTCGGTTACTAGTAACATGAATATAAAAGAAAATTTCTGGCTTAATTTTTTCACATAGGAACTCTTATACCCCTTGTTGTAGCATCGAAATTAAGTAATATTTAATATTGATCAATTGTTCTGCATTTAAGCTGCATGTATATAGTTTTGAGAGTTTTTAGTAGACCAAGTTTAACTTTGTAATTTTTTTTTTTAAATAACTTTAGTCTTGACTCGCATAGAACATGGTCTTATGAGACAACTATCATAAACATCATGATTTACGGCTCCTTCGCAAACCACGCCGCACAAATGTGAAAAATGTGAGAGCAAACATTTGAATATTATTTAGTGTTAGATAACTCTTAAGAATTGCATGGCTTGAGACAAAACTATAAATTATGATGTCCTTTTAAATACCCCCACTGACTTGAATTACTAATGATGTGCACTTTCTTGTCTCCAAATCGGATTGCACCGCGTTTCATATGTTTTTGAAGGCACATTATATCTCAGAAATCCATATTTTGTAAATATTTAAACATGTAAAATATGTGTGTTATGTTTAAATAATGCATTAAGTACATGTAAGATGTTAAACAACTGAAAAAAAAGCGCTGGACATGCAGTTATGTGTCGTAGAAAAATGTAAACAAAGTAGTATTTTGACTTCCATACAAAATATAATCTCACTATAATTATACCAATTGCCAACAGTACTAAAGTTGCAAAAGATAGTTCATTTATATAGGAAATTAGTACATTGTTGTAAATTGTAACAAGATACCAAAAATATAGAGTTTTCGAGAAATGTAAATTATAACATTTCTAAGGCAAAATGGGCAAAAATATATAGTGGATATGTGTTTTGTTCAGTGTAAGATCAGAATATATTTCAAGTGAGCACCAAAATGTATATTTGACGAGTGGCACAGCCACGGGAGGCATATGAACTTTTGGTGTTCACGAGGTGAAATATATGTCAATCTTACACTGAACTAAACAAATTTTCTTTTCATTTTATGCAAAGAAATTTAAAAAAAAGACATTTATCCTAATACTTAATGAAAAGCGCACCAAATAATTATTTACAACGTCACGT